CTTCAGGAGGCGCTTTAGTCTGATATTAAAGCTTTATAATACTGTATTCTGTTATGAGTGGAACTCTATTCAAAGTTACATTGAATATAAACTGGAATAGAGTTACAAACAGCATTAAAAGTTTATGAAAAATCAACCTTGTATATATGCAGAACAATAAAAAAGAAGTTGAAGGAAAAAGTAATTATGTTATCTTAGTAGCTAAAACTTAGGTAATTATTCTGAATTTGAAATTTAGATCATCACCTTTCCCTTTGATGTAATTATCCATTAGACTTACTTACACACATTTTTCATGTCTAGCTAGCAAGAACTCCATAATGAAGAGGTAGAGCTGCAAAAGAGAAGGGGGGAAAAGCAAATCTAATGCACATGGAAGCAAGAGTGTAGCACTTCTTGTGTAATCTATCATAAAAAAATATTCAGGAGAGCCAAGCTATCTCTACTGGGTTATAATACAAAAGAGATAGCTATGAAACCAATGCATTTCCAGGTTGACTACTCAAAGAAAAATGTGCTGGAAGAACTGAGTGAGTAGAAATATCTGCATTTTTAGAAGTGAGAGGAAACTTGAACACCTCTATCACAAATTCCTCATATTTTAGTTTTAGTTCAGAAGAAACATCTAGGTAGGCTGAAGATCTTGGCCAAAGTCATATAGTTATATATTGGGAGTTCCCTGGGGGTTAATCAATGATGATTTCCTGCTCTAAAATACACATTTATTAGGAAGTAATGTATAGATCAGGTAATGCTCCTCCATTAGACATGTTACTCAGATCCACAATCAGGGCTTCTTCCAGTTGCTGAGAATATCCATTCTAATTACACATCCGGAAACTGGGAAAATAATGACAGGATGGATTTAGGATGACCCACTGTGAGGATTATCTGAGCTTAAAAACACCACTGCTCACTGGCACTTGGTAAGTCTCATCTCTTGAGAGCTAGCTGATAGTGACATTTTGAGGTCTCCTGAATTTAGTATCAATTCAGTCAGTGTCTAGCAATCCCTGAAAAGTCTGTTATTTTCTCCCCCACCCCCAACTCTTTGTAATGTCACCTATGGGGCCACAGTATTAAGTAGCATTGACTGAGTCTTTTGGAATACATGGTGTTTTCTAAAAGGAAATTTAAATTTAAAGGGAAAGACAGTCCATGATGCCATGGAAATACTTTAGCATGACCTGGGATTAGTTAAATTCTACAGAAACAGAACAAAGAGGGGAGAAGACTGGGAAGAGCTCAGCGGTAATGGGGAGAAAATGTCAAAAACTGGGAAAATTTACTCATTTCCCCAGGATACCCTATTAGTTTTCTGAATTGCTGTTGGGCAACTTGGTCCAAAGCAGACATAAATAATGTCATAATGGAAGAGGCCATTTTTACTCCCTCTCATCAAGAACATAGACTGTTAGCATCTGATAAGCACCAACAAGACTCATTGCAAAACAGCCCAGAAAACCCTGGGTCTATGTATCCCAGACTGACCCAGGCAGATGAAACACTATCCTGTCAACTTTTCACAACCCCACCCCCTCTCGGAAATCCCCTCTCTTCCCTGTAGTCCTTGCCTGTCAGTGACTTTGATCAATATTCAAAGAATACAAATGTTGATAAATGTATGCCCTTATGAAGTTATATGAGCCTTGCAAGGGAGTTTTCTGGAAGGGATGGCAACACAATTGTTTGCAGTTAACATAATGATTCATTAGTAGTGCTACTCACTGTACACACACACAAAATATAACAACCAAAAGAATCCCCAAAGTCAAAACTGAATAAATGAATATTTAAGAATTCCAGATGCTAAAAATACACCTGAGATCTCATTTTCTTCCTAATCAAAATTGCTTCAGGGAAGAAAGCTCTTTGACTTCTGGAATCCAACATCAGCCAAGTTAACTTGGCATCTTGGCAGAAATCAAGGATAACCTGACTCTTGCCAATTGTAAACAGAAAGCATGAAATGTAAGAGATATAAAGGGAAAAAGCTGCCTACCTGTTGCTGTGAATTAAAAAAGACTAATACTATTTAAATTTCATTGGATAATGCCATAGTAGCATTTGAATTGTTCAGATTTTTTCAAATGTACACCTGGCATTACAAACTCAATCTAGTTGCTGTAAAACATTTTAGAAGAACAAGAAATAGAATTAAAAAGTGTTACATTTTTCCTTTACCACAACTTTTTGATTTTAAGTACAGCAGCATTTTCCCATTTATTCTAGATTGCTTATAACTCTTTACAGTTCTTCTAAAAACAGCATCTCACTTTATAGATGTGGAGTTTCAGGTGGCAGCTATGTCTTTTTCCTTAACTTTAAGGTTATCAGACAACCTTTGATCCAAAGCAAGTCAGAATCTCTACCTAATTTTCTGCCAGTGGTTCAGTGAATGGACTTCTGATATCTGTTGATTATTGAACTGCTTCTAGGGATGGATCTAAAATGCAGGACTGACCCTTAATGTCAATCATAAAATTCTGAGTCCAAAATTCGGAGGCAATTTCGTTGTTTACAGTATATTCCGGCAGCGTGATCATAAGCAGCCTGGCTGCTTTATGGATTTGTCTCTCTCCTGAGCAAACTTAAAAGAAGGCTTAGTAAAACCTACATTGGTTTATTGAGTGTGTGAAAGCTGGCTGTTACTCTTGTTCTCTCCTTCTACTAGATAATTTTTTGACTTTATGAATCTGAAGAGTTTTAAAATTGAAGATTTTTCTTAGTGTTAATAAATATGCCCTTTTACTCTAATTATTATGTAGTAGGTCATACAGAAACCACTAAGAATAGCTAATGATAAAAATCATTTGTAATTTTAAGTATATTTTGTAAGAAATGCAAAATTGTGTGAGCCTAATTTATATGATCTAATAACTCACAATAAATTAGTTATAAAAGTAACTTGAAAGCTATTCCTAGGACCCTGAAATATATAATATTTATGTCTACTGTTTTTCATTCACAAACAACTATTAATTGTGACTTTACCCATAGTATACATGATAAACATTCCAGAATTCCACATTTATCATTCTGATACTCTTATTAAGACTATGTTTAGGCATTGCCATAATTATTGTGTTGAGTATGCAGCTACAGGATGGAAAGGTGGGCATTCTGCCTCTGTACTGCTTCCTCTCTGAGAATATCTGAACCATTTTTAATGTCAATTTCTGGCCTTCACAATTTTTGAAAAATTAATGAGGAATATTCTCTCTCCATTAAGATTCTTTCACAAATATGTTGCCAGCAGTCACCCACGTAACACTTAAATGTCATTTGAAAAGAAGAAAATGGCATCTGCCCAGGATGTATTTTGTTCTTTCTCTGAGTTGGGTCCAAACAATTGAGAAGCTTCCTGAGTTATAGCTGTTGATGTGACTGCTGACAACTCTGACCCCACATTTTTCTTTACTGGCCTTTAAGAATCACTAATACTGTGGACAATAATTTTGCACTGTGGCCATATAGATGGGCTCCCTACGCAAGTTTGAAATATCTAGAAAACAAAGAAATTCCAGAAGGCTAAAACTGAGAGAAGTGATCATTCTGAGTAAAAGAATAGAAGTTCAATAGCTAACCTATACACACATTCATTACAGAGAAAAGCCCCAAATTATATTATGCTCAATTTACATTATAACTAAAGCACTGCTTATGAAGATTTGCAAAAAGTATGTCACTATGTTAGATAAAATCATGTACTTTCCATGAAATCAGATAGTGGGTTCTCAAAGACACTGACAGAAAACATCATTTTATGGTAAAGCCAGTTTAGAGACTGGCATATATGCAACTAAGAGAGATGGCCTGTATCCATATTTCTTTTCCAAGGTTTTTATGGAGTATTTTCCAATTGAACTTAGTAAAATCCTAATATAGCCAGAGGAAGCAAATGGCGGGTACAGGGGAGTTAAAATGAAATCTCCCCCTATTACCACCTTCTATCTCACAGGGCTGGGTGGGAGGTTGAGAGTGGTGAGTACATTATTAACTCTCCAAATTCACCATTGTAAGTCTTTAATAGGGAAATACAGGGAGCACATAGGAGGGGCAACTCAACATTTCAGATACAGGAAATGCTTTCTAGAGGTACCTGCAATGGCTTAGATCTGAGACTTGCTAGACAGGTCAAGGAATTGAGAGAAGTTTAGGACAGTTGGAGGGTAACGGTAACATGAGTAATATGGGCAAAAATAGGCTTGGAGAGTTAAGCAGAGATCATATCAAGAAGAGCCCTGACAGTCAAATTTTGGAGTTTAGGTTTGTGCCAAGAGTCATTGGGGGTGCCATGAAGACTTCCTGTGGGTGGAAGGAAGAAGAAAATGGAGACCTCACAAATGATAACAAGGTCCTTAGTAGGGTAACTGGCTCAACAATGAAAGGGGACGACAGACTTCTGGAGAGAAATTATGATTTTAGCTTTGTACTTACTGAGTTTAGGAACTCTGGAGCCTTCACATAAAGACACCCAGAAAGTGCTTTTGGAGCACTTTGGAAACCAAATCTGGTGCTTTTGGAAACCATGAGGGGTGAGTTTTCTCTGGATGGCATCATACTGGGAAAGCATGTAGAGTGAGAAGAAAAGAGGGTAGAGGGTAGAAATCTGTGGGAACAGCAACATCTAGGGATGATATAAGTAGACAATTGGTCTGCAGAGGGAACAGAGAATATAGTCTGAGTAGACGAGGAAAGTTGGACATCAGGAAAGGTAGCATTTAAAGGCCACTGCTATCTAATGCTTCAGAGAGCTAAGATGAAGACTGGGAAGGAGTTACTGGGTTTTATGGCTGAAAGGTAATCAGGGAGGACAGAACCAACAGTTGATGGGCACAGACTGGTAAGTGAGGGAAGGGTGAGTAGAGAATAATAAAGTGGAAATGGTGATTACAAAAAAATTCCTTTAATATATGAAAAGAGAGGAAAGGGAAGGACTAGAGAAAAGGGAGATGTAGTTGAAAGAACTGAGTATTTGAGCTGTGCTTTATTTTTAGCTCAGTGAGACTGAACCATGCATGAATATAAGAGACAATGAAGTAGCAGAGGAAGAGCTGAGGATACAGGTAAAGTGAAGAAATACTGGATGGACAGCATCCCTGAGAAGGTAGGAATTCTTGGGAGACAAAAGTGGGTAGGAGAAGAAGTAGCTGAGAGAAGATTCAGGGATGTAGTCAAATAGACACATCACATGTTGTTGGAAGGAAGCTCTGAAAGTTTTCTTTGACATGAAGTTCTCTTTTCCATGAGGAAGCAGGAGAACTTATCTTCAGAGACAATTGAAGAAGCAGATGTGTTTAGATAACTGGGGAGAGAGTAACATGTCAGAAACTGCCTCTCAAAAACAAGAGAGAAAAGCTCAACAGGAAACATAGGATTGCCAGGCAGCATTAAGACCCTGTCAGTTTATCCTGGTACCAATCTGTCTGGTGTAGTTTTCTATCATGTTGACAGTTGCCAGATATAAAAACAGACAGCCAGATGATCTTGAGGGATGACACTATGAAATGTAATATTCTATAAAATGGTTTATGAGGCTTCTTCATGACCTGAGCAAAACAGTCCCACAATGAAATCTCAAATTGATTAAGTAATTCTAGGAGAGTACATTGTTCCCCAACACCTCTAGCCTATCAGAGTGTGGGAGACTGATCAATGCATATAGCTATTTTATCTTTTGAGAAGATATAGCTCCATTAATAGGATAATCATTGATTATATGATTTCTGGGTTAGACATATCCCTACGTGACTGTATAGTCTGATTAGTCACATGAAAATGATTTACTTCTTCAGAAGAGGCAACAAGAAATCTCAGAGCTACAAAGTCACAAACAGAATTAGAATGTACCCATACCCAAAACTGATCAATGTAAATACTGGATAAACAGCAGATTGCACTCTGTTTCTGCAATCTCTCTCGGATTTCTTCCCACTGGACTCTTTATTGGGGTTTCCTACGTTCCAGGCACTGTAATCCTGACCCTCAGTGAGTGACTAGGTGGGGAGGCACGCATAAATAAATGTCATCAACTCAGGCCAACTCATACTGTGAAAGAAGGAGCTACAAGGATGAGGACAGTAAAGCAGAGTCTAATGATTAATTCTGTTGGATTAGTGCATAAATATTTACTTTCAACTCCATATAAAAAAAAACTCAATATTACTTTTTGCATCCTATGACTTAGGGAAAAATAACACAGAGAATATTCAATGAAAACTGAAGTTCTCCTTTATTTAAAAACAATCTATGTTTTCTTTTCAAGTTGCATTCCTCATTAACTTGTGGTGAACTGGACACCAACTGTGATGAAAATTCCCACCAAACCTCTTGATTGCTTGAGTAACTCCTGAGAAACATCTTTCAAAAGAAAACCACAGAGTAAGTTGTTCCAAAGACAATGGTCTTTGCTATTGAACCTTCTTTTGAAGTCTGTGGCTGTTTCAATAGTAAATTCTTCTCTTTACAGTTTTTTCAACTGTAGAACAAAAATCATAGCCTTGCTCCCAGTGCTTCATCTGCTTGGAGATCCTCTACCAGCACCTGGAATGGCTCATGTCACTTTAAGAAACAAACTAATAATTCACATGTGTCCTGACTCCTTGTGAAGCTCAAGGGGGTAGTGAAGAGGAAGGAATCCAGGAGGAAGAGAAGGGAAAGAATATTTTGTGAAAAATAAATGGTCATCAAAAATTGTGTTTTAGTGCCAGTTTTGTTATTTATTGGCTATGCAAATGTCAGCCTCTCTGTTGTTCCTCTGTAAGAGCAGGAAGCTAGGACTAGATGATGTTTTGGCATTTAGAAGAGTCTTTTTTTTTTATGAAGAAAATGAGAGAGTTTGGACTAGGTGGTATAACATGCCAAATCAATACTCACTAATAGGAGTTAATTTGCCTATTGCCATGAATTATTTAGTGAGTGAGGTCTTTACACTCATACTCAAAGTCCACACTAATGATCTAGTAATTATTTTAATCGATTCTCGATGAACTGTTAACTACTCTGCTGGCATACTGATAAGCAAGCACTGTGAGAACAGTTTCTGTGCTCTACATTTGCATTTTTTTTCATTTATACACTGAAGGGAAGTGAGAAAAAATATCAAATAAATATTTCTGTATCCATTTTACTGGGATTATTGTTATAAAGATTTGTTATGTTTTATGAAGTTCTTATTTGGGAGAAGGTATGGAAATCATAGAGGAAAGGAATCATTTTGTTCAAGGACACAAAACAGGCTAGAAGTTAGTAGCTGGGACCTAAGGCTTTCCACTACAAAATATTTGTTAATATTTCTTTCAGATGCAAAATGATAGCCATAATGTTTAGACAACTTCTGAGGCCTTAAAAAATTATCCATGCAATTCCCCCAGTTTCAAATGTTCCTAATAACATATTTGCTAAATGATGATTTATGACCTTAAATGCTGATACTGAACCCTAAACTAAATTCAGATATTAGTACTCATGTTATGTAAATCAGAAAGGAATGAAATATCAGAAAGTAAAATCTACTTAGAGGTATGAAAGAAAAGTTAAGAAAAAGTTCTACGTTTAAGGTAAACATGTAAAATCATCATTAATAGCTAAAAAATTATTTGTGCTGAACAAAAATGTTCAGTTCAAGTAGATTTCTATAATATAGACTAAATCCAGGGAACAATTTTAGTTTAGAATTGTTGAGACTAAACCTGATTCTGGAATATCTCAGGAAAAGAATATAAATTACACAGTGGGACAGGCATCGATTTTCACTGCTTTATATATTTAAAAATATGTGTACATAACTCTTTACTGCTTGAGAATATATTTTATTAGATGTGTGTATTTCTAATACAGGTTTCATGCAAGAACAGTAAACATCATATTTTTTTAAAAATATAGAGTATTATGGGTTCAGAGGAAGGTGACTTAAATTGTTATTTTCATGAAATGTTTAAAAACCTGGGGTTCTACTTTGCCATGAAAAAGATCAGGTCTTATTATGGGAAAAAAGGTGAGGCTCATGAAATGTCAGGAATACAACTGGAACTAATAAGCAGAAGTTAAAAAGGTGAGTTTTAGCTTAATAAATGGAGCTTTCTAAGGAGGTGGCTATACAGTTGAGGGGATGCAGTTATTTAGCTGATGTTGCAAACATATCTGAAGCATGATTTAACCACAAGTGCAACCACTGAGCACCTACCACATATATATTCCATGCTATGGACTGGCGACATTGAACTAAAAAGTGGGATAAACAAGTTCTCTGTTTCTGTGGAACTCATAAAATAGTGACAGGTACAGATAGAGAACAGATAATTAAATCAACAGCTAGTTAAATAAACAGGCAGTTGATGCTTATGATTACTTCTCTGTGGAAATAAATGTGATAGGAGGGAAGCTGACTGGACTGTCAGGGAGATAGAAACAGGTGATATTTAGGCTAAGTCCTGGCAGGTGAGGCTGGGAGAAGAGCATCCCAGGTTTGAACTGAGAGCACTGAGTCAGCAAAGGGCTTGGTAAATGGAGGCTGAGACTGTGGACACAGGCAGCACTACCACCCCCCCCACCCTCACCTCCCCCACCACACACAGCCTCAGATGCCAAGGTGAGACGATTTTGTTAAAGAAAATGATAGAATATTGAAACTTTTTGAACAGGAGAGTGAAGTAATCTGATTTATATTTATAAAGAAGTAGGTGGTATACAAGATGATCTTTAAATTCTTTTCAAGCTAAGCTTCTGACTTGTGATAGGGTCTGAAATGCAGCTTATCACATATACAAAATAATTATGTCATGACTTGATAGTGTTCTATTTAATGGTCAGGTTCTACCCAGAGAAAGGCCACCAGATTGCACATTTCAGAGGTAGCTGGGGAAAAGACAACCCATTCTTGTGATATGGACTGGATTGGTCCTCTTGTTACTGCATCTTTCCCATAGATAAGTCTGTTCTGCTCTGATCAGGCCCTTTGTGCCTGCTCACCCTCTTCCCCATTGACACTGCTTCTTCTAGTGCTTCTGTCTGGTCAAGAATTCCATCATGAGAATGGATGGGGCTCTTTCTCCTGGTGCCAACTATTTCACTTCATTATGGAGGGTCTTTCTTCTTTGTGTGACAGTGGACTATCCTTTTGTACTTAGGCCTTGGCCTGAACTCAAAACCATTTTCTCCCTTACAATTCATGAGACTTGTGGTCTCCTTGAAAACAAGCATTATATCTATTTCTCTTTTCTGTATCTACATTCACCAGTTTTTGGCATCTCTGATTGTTAGGGTTTCAAAAATTACTGTTGAAGGAGCGAATGCTCTGATAGATTGGAGATCCTCCTGGAAGCTGACTCTGCTCTCTGTACTCAATCCTATCATTCGCCTTCCAACTTGTTTGTGAAACAAAATGGCTCTGCGCCAGATAGATCCTTCCAACTATTTTAACAAGACCTGGAACTGAGCCTTTTTCTTTTTTTCCCTCTTAATCAGTCAAGGCACAAGCTTGCTATTGTTTTCCTGGATGGCAGCTGAGTTTTAATTGTGATAACACAGAAAAAGCAAGTCTGATCATTTCCAGGACAGTAATAGCTCACATGCATTTGCACTACTGCTTACCAAACACCACTCTAAGTGCTGTGAAGGCACGTCTCCTCCACTCCTCACTGCAATGCTATGTGAAAAATGCTATTATCCCATTTTACAGATAAGGAAATTGAGGCTTAGAGAGGCTAAGCATTCAGGGTCCTACATTAGATTAGAGATTTTCAAGATTTGTTTGAATGAAAATTTGTACTCTTAACAACTAGGGAAAAAAATCATAAAATAAAATTCATAATACATCAATATACTGAAAATAAGCACAACAATTATATAATTAAATTGTAGATGTTTAAAAACAAATATTATGGAATTCTCTGTTGTATAAATAAGTGGATTGTAATTTCTCTGTCACCCATTTTTCCCACTTCACCTCCAAAACTTCTTACCTCTACATTATCTTTTATTATCACGAGAGAATATTTGAGATTTTTTTTTGTAATATGAAAGCATTTTATTTTTAATAGAAACCCAGGAGAGCTAGGAAGGCATAGAAAGTAGTCCATATCTTAGTCAATTTTAAAGGCCTCAAAAAAGATATGAAAATAACTTAAGAGCTTCCATATATAACTGAAATCTATATGATATCAAACCATTCAGTTTTAAAATCTGTTCTGTTTATAGAGATCTCTGGAACCAAAACCAACTCTTCCAAGTTTCTGTGAGTGACAGTTCAAAATGTCCAAAAGACAGATTTTCCAGTTTTCAACTTAACATCAAAGTACACAATGAGATATTTTCTGATTCAAAAAGAAACTGCCTTTAAAAATGTCTGATGCTCCTGATGTTATTTGAAACACACATGAAAGACAGATACCAGTCTCCTGAGAAAACTATGGAATTACAACCCAGGGCACTAGCCTAGAACAAAGCAAAACCCCAAAAGGAAGTTTTATTAAAGAAGAATAAAACTTCACTAAAATAGTTATCTACAGGAATTGTTTTAAAGCTTATGTTCATTGTCACAAGCAGAGGGGCAGAATTTCTCATGCAAAATTTGTTATGAGACTATGATACTAGCAGACCTTGTGATAATGAGACCTCTGATTCTTCCTCCTTGCCTAAGGTACAGTCTGTAGTTTGCAGCAAGTTTTCAAACTACTCACTCATTCTTTTATTAGCTCATTCAATAAAAATCCACTGACAGCTTATTATGTAACAACATCTAGACCAGAAGTTATAGGAGGAATTGGGTTATGTATTTTATTATAGTTGGTATCATTAAATATTATAAGTTATAGTAAATTATTACAGTAATATAGAAAACAGTAAATATTATAGTTTATGTAAATGTGAATTAATAAGTTCTGACAATATATTACATATTCTCTAGAAAATATTTATAAGCAATTTCTTTTCATAAGTGTTACTATATAAATTAAATAAATCTAAAGCATCTCTGAGGAAAGCCAAGGAAAGGGAATTAAAAATGGCAACAACTTTTAAAATTATCATATTTATGACTCAGTATTGAATTATCTCTCAGAATAGATTCATAAGGCTTTATTATTTAGAATAATAAAAAAATAGAAATTGGATACAATTAAGAAATCATTCTATTTTTATTTTATTTTCCTTAGCAGGCATACACTGTAGTCTATTTCTACTAAAGGAAAACTATTGAATTTCACAATACCAATGTACACCTATTTCTATGATGTTCTAAAACATTGTCTTTAATAATACTATTACCATTATAAACATTATCCATTGTACAATAACTGAGTGTCTCCAATATGCAGCAACTGCCAACTATAATGGAGTACAAGACAAGTACAGCCAGGATCAGCAAACTACTGCTAATGGACCAAATGTGGCCCACTGTCTGTCCGTAAATACAGTTTTATTAGAACAAAACCTAGTCTATTTATGTATAATCTACAAAGATGATCAACAGAGCTGATACATGCAGTAAGAAATGCAAAGTCTAAAATATTTCTTTCTGATTACTTTTTAAAAAAGATTTATTTATTTATGCATACAAGAACTGGGGTATAAGCCAGAGGTGTAGGGAGGTGAAAGGATTCATCAGAGACAGAGTGGGGAGAGCAGAACAGGCAGATTGACTGAAATACACTGCAGAGGGGAGCAGCAGGCAAGACAGGAGAGGTCTCCTGCACCATGTGGATCCACCCCCTTGGTGGGGATTGAACTGGTGCTGCAGTGGCTGTGAGTGCTTCATAGTGCTGAGGCTTAACCCCTTGCACCACCAGGGAGGCCCCTCTTTCTGATTTCTTAAGGTAAGGTTTGCCACCCTTGCTTTCTAGTAAAGGTATTGATTTTTCCAATCAATTTTGAGTATCAACTAAAATATTAAGAAGGATTAGGAAAAGTTTCAGTATACTCAGCTCCTTTTAGACCTGTGTCCAGTACTGACTGGACATACCAGTAGCAGGATAAATGTTACATTTTAGTAAACATGTTCTCTACAAGGAGTCGGAGCTCAGAAAATGGGCTGCTGTTATTCCCCTAAGATAATGAAAGTTCTAAGTATTGTCCCAAGCCACCAAGCAAATGCCCACCAAAACAGTATCATCATCCTTTCTTTTAGGAGCTAAGGATTTCAGTTGGTGTTTAATTTTTTGTTGTTGGAAATACTGCGACTTCCATAGATCTATAAATATTGCTTGCAGCTTATTTAACTGAAAATGAGCACTATAATTACAATGGGAAAACACAGTCTGTGTCATACCTGTATGTTGTTCTTCAATCCAGACTTGCAAATACATGAAGAGGAGTAGTCCTGCTACTCCAAATACCAGCACCGAGAGGAAGACTTGTTTGGGGTTCATGACCAGTTCAGAAGGCTGCATTTCTTCTCATTTCTGAAGACAAGATTGGTTTTTCCACAGACCTTCAAGATTTTCTCATTGTCTTAGTGCTCATTCCATGAAATCTAGAATTTAAAAAAAAAAAATGTACCTTGTAACTTGTTCATGACATTTCTTCCCAAATGTGGTGATAAATATGCAGGATCTCAGTAACAGTGAAGATGAACACTTACTGTAACACTTTGAAGATAGAAGAGACTCTAGTAGATGTCCCTGGAATGGCAATTTTCTATTATGAACCTTTATCTTATCTCAGGAATGTATTAGCCACAGTTAATAACTAACACACTAACATTTAATTAGGTGAAGAGTGATTAGACTTAAGTCTTTCTGTGTTGTAAAGGGTAATGTAGGGTTCAGGTTACCTTAAGATAATTGTGATGGAAAAGAAGACTAATAGGATGGATTGCTGAAGAAGGAGTTTTGAAAAACACATTCATAGAATGAAGGAAAAAATCACTTCATGTCTTAAAATACATATAAAGTTCAAAAATCTGTCATTTTCATCTGTCATTTTCCTCTCATGAGAAATAATAAAATTCTCCAACTTTTAAAATATCTCAAAGGCATACAAAGAAGAATACTGAAAGTTCACAGTTCAAGGTCCTTTCCCCACAAAACACTGGAGAACAGAAACCTCCCTCAGATTACAGAAATCTAGTTCAGTAATAAATAATTTCCTTTATTTAATTGAAAAGACTTTGCTTTAGAACAATCATTTTTAGTAAATCTTGACCTATTTTAAGTCTTACCCTCTATTGAGAGTCTAATGAAAATGTAAACCTCTCCTTAGAAAACTATAAACACACACAAAGTTGTGCATAAAATATCATTAGGTTCTCTCACTGAAAACCAAATTAAGAATCCTTATTTCCTGTGAACTAGCAAGCAAAAATGCAGTAGTCTGCATGGTGAACTCACATCATTAGCAACCAATCTAATGAGGCCAGGGTCATGATTGTATATGGTTTTATATCGGACACAGGCCAAAGACATTGTCTCCCAGAGCACAGACACTGCCTTTAGGATACACGGAATAAACATCTCTTCAAGGTAACGATATCACACACACTGTTGTGTCTAAACATGATCTCTCTTCTTTTCCTCCAAATATGCCTTGAAAACTTCTGGGAGAATAGTCTTTTTATGAGGCGTTTGGCAAGGAGTGAGTTAAAAGTTAAAAATTGCTGTGGGAAATTGCTAGGCTTCACCTATTTTTGGCAAACCCAATTTTCACACAAACATAGAACTTCAAAGGAAGCCTAAGAGGTCAGAATTAGAAGTGAAATTGGTGGATGATCTTTTTAGAAGAAGGAAATCCACCAAATTGTTAAAAGTACTTAAACAGAACCACCAAAAGAAGTCATTCTACAAACACATTTTAAAATTAGTTTAATTAGTACCAGAAAGGGGCCAGAGGGAAAACAATGGTTGTCAGCATTACCTGAGGCTCTTTCCCAAATCCACTTCTCCGAGTTCCCTGAGGAAGGGGCAACTATTAACATTTTCATAAGTGCTTTTTCAGATTTCAAGCATTTCCTTCATTTTGGTAGAAGAGGAAGTGTTTAGATAAGCAGGGGAACTGAAATTATCATTATTCGGCATTAAGCAAGTGATACTTTGCTCTTACATTGGCTTAAAATTTAAATATTATGGGTTTTCCAAAGAATAGTTCCCAAGGGAGATTTGCAATTTGAGGCGTCCCAAAGTTTAATTCCTCAAGAAAAGCTATGAAGAGAAGCCAGTTTTTTTCTTGATGCATCAGTTAAACAATGAACAGATAAAATTCCTGGCTCTATAAGAAGTTTCAGGAAACCAGTTAAACCAAATCTACTACTAACAAAGAAATAGTTGTTTACAAAAAGAAAGAGATTTTACAATCTGTCTACATAATTACAACTTCACTCAGAAGAAAGAGGATAAAGAAAATGCATAAATCAGAACAGAGCCACAAACCTGTGGGAATGGGGGGTGTGAAATCCAAAAGAAGTGCTCCTTCGGGGTTGCAGAGGAAAATTATTGCCTATGATGCTGGAAAAAGATTAAGAATTTGCCCTTCCTTTCTTCAGGAGATGTTGCTATATTCCGACATATCCTCCTGGGTAAGAAGTCAGTAGAAAACCCATAATTGTTATTATGGCAGATGTGAGTAGGATTGAGTGATTAAAGCCACAAGGCAGAAAGGCAATCTGGTGTGAAACTGAGAGATACGTTTGATTTTCTCCCATCTCAGTCCATTAACCCAACATTGGCATTAGGAAATGGCTCTCATTAAACAAAGGTGAGGCAATAGGAGCAGCAGTATTGCTTTAAGCAAACCTGAAGGTCAGTTGTGATGGGAAAACACACCTATTTGGTGATCATACATCTAACTCCATGCCTGCGGAAAAAGTGCAGACTACTGGAGATTGAAATTACTTGGAATAATGCTATTTTATGTACAAGCATTATACAAGATTTCCATGGTCAAAGGCTTCATGTATTTTGCACTACTCCTCTCTCTCTCTGCTCGTAAACACAGTACCTTAAACCTAACAGGTACTCAACAATGTGTTGCACTGAACTGAATTTAGAACTCCAATAATGAAATAGAGATAATTGATGAATTTTCCAGTTGTATTTATAATCTTTTGTTCTAATCTCTAAAAGGAAAAATATGGGCTACTGAAATACTGAAAAGAAGGTCATCTGCGATTCTGTTAAAAGTACATGTTTATTTTTATTGGCATATCCCACTGATTAATCCCAAATAGCTATGGAATATAAAAGGTCATCTCATTTCCAATACATACAAGTTAATATTTTAAATAGCGATGGATACCAACAGACGCCTTTAGATAACAATCCCACTCTTGATGTCCCCCTGTTCTTATACCTGCTGTCAGTGACTCAGTTGGCAAACCCAACTGGAAATCTGAGTATCAGAGAACCTCTTATGCAAACTATTTAGGTGAATTACCCAAACCATAGAGCAGGCTAGGATTTTGGAGAAATAGGTGGATCAAGCTCAGGTAGTGTTCTTTCTGAATCTCCCAAAATAATTTTCCTTACATTCAAAAATGAAAATATTCTTCTATATTTCCTTTCAAAAATATTAAAGATCTAAATTTCATAATTAAGAATTCAATTCACCTGGAATTTACTTTTGGTACATTGTGTGCAATCCATTACATATATATAACATTTGTCATTTTACTGCTGACATATAATGCTGATTTTGTTATAGCTCAAATTCCTATATAGGTTTTGTATTTACTTTTCTGTTTTATCGGTTCTGTTTTATCGGTTCTATGTTTGTACAAACATCTGGGCCTGTCTTTGAGTGACAGAATATGAATCTGATTACTGATGTAATTTTATTAATTTTATGTTACTTTTTTGAGTGAATGTTAGAAAATTACACTGCCTATACAATTATCATTTTCTCTTAATTTCCAAAATTTTTTTTGAAATCAGTTTTTCTTTAAAGATTTATTTATGCATACAGAACTGAGGTACAAGCCAGAGGTGTGGGGGGTGAGAGGATTCACAAGAGACAGCGTGAGGAACAGAACAGGCGGATTGACTGAAATACACTGCTGACAGGAGCAGCAGACAAGTCAGGAGAGATACGCTGCACCATGTGAGTAGCTCCCTGACCAGGGATCGAACTAGTGCTACAGTGGCAGCTGATAGCTTCATAGGTTATGCCTTAATCCCTTGCAACACCAGGAAGGCCCTCTGTGTGTGTTTTTTAAGGCAACGTTAGCTTACAACTATCTAATTCAGAGTTATAGTTTAGTTTCTAAGTTTGTAAGTATAAAGGTGTTTATGTATTTTAAAGATCTCTTTCATAGTTGTAGGGATAGTCCTCTTTTCATTCCTAACATTATGTAATTGTGTCTTTCCTCTTATTTTCTTTGAACAATTTTTGGTGAGATCTTCTTTTTTATTTGAAAGTATACAGCATATGGGTCTCCCAGGTACCACAGGATTTATTTAAGTCTTGTGCTATCAAGCTATTGCCAGCCACTGCAGCCTGGGTTCAATATCCATCCCTTGCCAGGGAGCTACCCACATGGAGCAGCAGACCTCTCCAATCTTGCCTGCTGCTCCCCTCGGCAGTGCATTTCAGTAGATCCGCCTGTTCTGCTCCCCACTCTGTCACTGGTGAACCCTCTCACTCCCTACACCTCTGGCCTGTACTCCAGTTCCTGTATGCATAAATAAATAAAGAATAAATCTTTAAAAGAACGTATACAGCATAGGATATCACCCTTCAGGTGTAGTCACTGCCTATTCCGTCAAAACTAACAAGGATGTAAAACAATGGTACTTCAATGTGGGGGGGGGAACCCACAAAATTCGACAAGGAGGATGTAAATCCCAATCTCCATTGCTTGGGAAGCATTTCCCAAATGACCTACTTCTAGCTTCTTTTGCTTGATTTCAGTGACTTTCAATTCACTCTTATTCTATTTATATATAGTTTTTATCAATTAGTCATGGTCCTTAACAAGTCTGTTGAAGTTGTTTTTGACAATTTCATCAGTATTATAAATTACAGGGGTAAGCCAAAATATATACTATTTTAAGTCTTCCCAGTATAAAAAGATGAGTATCACTGTTTATCCGAGGTCTCCATAGGTCATTTAAAAAAATTTTATTTTCCTCGCATTAAAAAAAGTACAAAGCAAATTGTTGATTGTGCTATATCTTATTGGTTTCATCTCTTTCTTTCTTTATTCATTCTACTTTCTTCTTTAGGAATATTTTGTTTTTTCTCAAAGTTTTTGATTTGAAAATAATTCATGTGTTTTAAATCTTTGTTATAAAACACATTTATATAATGCTACTAACTTCCTTTAAAAGTAAATTAACAGCATACCATGTGCTCTTTTTACATGTATTTACAGTATCATGAAGTTCTACATATTTTACAATTTAAATGACCATAAATTAATTTTAAATTCATTTTTAAAATGGCTTTTATCCTCTTTCTATATTTTATTTCTAATTGAATCTACATTTTATTTCTGATAGCTAAGTTGTATTTTAAATAAAACTCTTAACTATAATTTTTTCT